TTCTTCTTCTACTACTTCTACTACTTCTACTACTTCTACTACTTCTACTACTACTACTACTACTACTACTACTACTACTTCTACTACTACGACGGGACGACTATTTCTGCTCCTGCCATCATTCCTGTTTTGGTGTCTCCAGATTACTTTTACTTTGCTCATAAACCTTTCAAAGACTTTCCGGGTTTCGGGTTAAGGGCTCACGGTTTACGAAGGAGCTGCCGGTCAAGGGTTCGAGGCATTTTGAGGCACGGTTTAGGGTTTAGGGTTCCGCCAGAAGTATCTGGTTCTCTGCCTGCTTGTATCGTCAAGTGGCAGCGCAGCAGTAGCCTGCAATGTCTCTCTTCAAGCAGCTGTTGCTCTGCGCCATCTTTGCACTAGATTTCGTGGCATGACGGACGCAAGACCTTATTGTGCAGAGCAACATCAACGAACCTGTTGCTTGTGGTGCCTCCAGCCTCCAACTGCCACTAGGCTGCCAAGAATAGTAACTTCGGCTGCGAGAAGATTTTGAATTTTGCAAGTTTGCAGCCTCAAATCCCGGAAGCCAGCTGTTCTCGCGCCCCCCCAAACCCTAAACCCTACGAGTCCTAATCTCTTTTAAGCCCTAAACTCTATGAGCCCTGAACCCTATAAGCCCCGAAACCCGACAAGCACTAAACCCTATAAACCTTACAATAGGCCCTATAGCCTGACGTGCAGGACGGTCTTTACTACAGCTCCTACAGAAACTACCGCTGAAACGCGGTAGTGCGCCCGGGAGAGCACCAGAGGGATGTGAAGGGTGCTTTTTAGTACATATATATATATATAAGGAAGGGATTTAGTGTTTGGGGTTTGGGGTCTTCGGTGGTGCCTGCTGGTGCTGCCGGTGCTGCATGTGCTGCTGGTGCCGCTGGTGCTGCTGCAGCTGGTGCTGCCGCTGCTGCTGCTGCTGCTGGTGCTGCCGCTGCTGCTGCCGGTGCTGCTGCTGCTGCTGCTGCTGCTGCTGCTAGTGCTGCTGGTGCTGGTGCTGCTGGTGCTGCTGGTTCTGGTGGTGCTGGTCCGGTGGTGCTGGTGCTGGTGCTGGTCGTTCTGGTGGCACTGGTGGCGGTGGTGGTGGTGGTGGCGGCGGTTCTGGCGGGTTTGGCGGTGCGGGTGGCATTGGCATTATCGTTGTCGTTGTTGTTAGTTGCTGTGGTTGGTACCGCTGATGGCCTCAGCAGGCACCGCGACGGTCATACCGTATGAGTCATACCAGGTTCCAAAGTGTCATATTGCGGTCGTGTATATCATGTATCTTGCTGCCTCGACATCTACACCACCATTGCAAGAACTTGCTTGGAGGTTCATGGGTAGTTATAAGTAGGGTTATAAGTCCCTTAATATGGGTTATAAGTATAGTTACCTTAATTATAACTCCACTTGTAACTACCCATGAACCTCCAAGTAGGCCACCAAGATCCTACTAATCAGCTCTCGAATCAGGTGGTCTGCGAGCTGCAGCTGATCTTTGCATGAGCAACGTTTCGAGCGTTCTCTCGGACCCACCGGAGTGGGCGAGCACTTATTGGGGCTCCGGGTTGCTAGATGAGATGTGCTTCTACAGGGTTCAGGTATTCTTGGGGTTAGTGCCTGGGAGGGTTGCCCACAGGCAGAAGTGCCCAAAAGCACGAAGATGCTTGGAAGCTTGTTCTTGACTTGTTTGCCAGGGTTCACGAGAGTGTCAAAGCTTGCTGAAAACTTGTTTGAAGATACCATGCGGCAGCTTCCGTGCCAACCGCTTACGACTGTGGCAAATTGAACCGTGGAGTCAAATCCGGTCTCCACAGCACGTTACGAACAACGACAGCACTTGCAAGCGACCATTGGATCTTGGCGCAAAGCTTACACGTAGTGAATTTGCGGTGTAGGCTGCTGTAAACATGAGCTAGTCTTGGTTCAAGACATTTGATACACAGGGAGCCTACTGTACTACTTGAGAAAGCTCGGGTATGCGGTTGAAGCATTCCAGTACGTCCCGGGTTCAAGGACCTGCGCGTGCAAGTGTTCTTGCGTGTAGGTTTGTTTGGGGGGGTGGTTGGCTCTGCAGAGCAGTGACCGAAGTCCCTTACAGCAATCTTTTTCGACTGTTGGCTTGGCATGGTGAAACAGTGACCGGGGACACCCTAAAGCTTGAAAGCCTTGGACACTACCCTATACCGGAAGCCCGAAACACGCGAAACACCCTAAACGGTAAACTTCGCATGAAGCGGTTCAGGGACGGTTTAGGGTCTTGGGAGGGCTTGGGTTATCATTTGGCTTTTAGGGTGGCCAGGGAGTCGTTCCTTCTTTTCAAACCCTTCCAAGCCGGGGGCAGAATCTGACTGTTCGGTTCTTTACATCAGCGGGGTCTGAGACGGATGTATTTGCACCATCCAGTTTGCAGCAGCTTTAGATTTGAATAGCAGCAGGAGTGGTGGCGGTAGTAGTAATTACCAGTAGCAGCAGCCGCAGCAGCAGGAGTAGCAGAAGCAGCAGAAGCACCAGCAGCAGCAGCAGTGGGAGCAGGAGTAGGCGTAGGAGAAGGAGAAGGAGAAGGAGTCGGAGTAGGAGCAGGAGCAGGAGCAGCAGTATCAGTAGCAGTAGCAGTAGCGGCAGCAGTAGCAGTGGCAGCGGCAAGAGGAGTAGTAGTAGCAGTAGCAGTAGTAGTAGCAGTAGTAGCAGTAGCAGTAGTAGTAGTAGTAGTAGTAGTAGTAGCAGCAGCAGCAGCAGCAGAAGCAGCAGCAGTCCTGTCGTCGTCCACCGCCCCTTTGTTCAGGACTGTGCCTTCAAGCATCACTGTAAGTCCTCCATAATATGCCTTCTCGCAGCAGCCGCTACACCCTACACCCCAGCCAAAACCATATTTCCGCGGAAAATCCTGACCCCGATCCCCGATCCTCCACCCTTAAATCCCAAAGCCATGAAGCCAAAAGAGCGTATTGTACATAGAGCTTGATGCCCAACTTTTTTCAGTCAGGCTAAGGTCCTTAACAACCAACAATGATATGTATGTACGGAATGTATGTATGCATGCATGCATGCATGTATGTATGCATGTGTGTACGTAACGTATGTAGGTATCTACACATGTACAAGGCATGTAGGTATGTAGGTATGTATGTAGGTAGGTACGTATGAATGTAATGTAATGGAATGGGATGGGACGGAATGCAATGTAATGTATGTAATGTAATGTAATGTAATGTAATGTAATGTAGTGTAATGTAATGTAATGTAATGTAATGTAATGTAATGTAAGGTACTGTAAGGTACTGTGCTGTACTGTACTGTATTGTACTGTACTGTAATGTACTGTAATGTACTGTAATGTACTGTAATGTAATGTAATGTAATGTAATGTAATGTAATGTGGTGT